CATTAACTGGACAATCAAAAGAAAAACTATTTACCCAGACATTAACACTTCTGTCCACAGGGTTTGCAGGTGGTTCTGCCTGATGGTTTTCAGTACATCTGGGATTATTACTGACCCCTTTTTGGAGGCATGTTGAAAACACAATCCTAAACGTTATCAAGCAGCAAACTATTATGATAGCAAGATAAAAAGAGATGTCCATGATTAGAACTTGTTTTAAAAAGAAGTCTGCTATTAGATATATCATTAACACATTAGTGTGTTAAATCACAGTGAACATTTCAGTGCATGATACAAATAGTTATATCCACTAACCTTGTGTCCCTATTTCCTCTTATTTTAAGAGGAAACTTTATTTTAAAGACTACCTATTCTGAAACGTTTTAATTTATCCTGTCAGATACTTTAGGCCACCTTTTGAGATGCCCTGAACATCAGCAGCTCCTGCTTGACTGAGGTGGGAAGCTTGGATGTTTAAAAAAGCCTGGATGGGAGACAAATCTTGGGCAACAAAGTTCTCCCCTCACCCTCACAGGTGTAAAAATCCTATTAAGGTCAGTTAAAAAACCCTACAACCTCACAGCAAGGCAAGTTGTCACGTTTTCCGTGACTCCTAAAGAAAAACTCCAGTATGAGCACTCCTATTCCTCCCTCATGGGTAGCTAAGAAGACAGAATTGAAATAAGAGCTTACTTCCCTCACAGAAAAGACCTCCCCAGAACTCAGTGAAGATATTTTAGAAACGATGGAAACTAAAAGATGCTGCAGGCTGACTTTTATTTCTTTACAATGTAAAAATTATATTTGTCCTTATATAGGAAGGGCACGTCCATAATGAAAACCAAAACAAATGGTTATATTTTAATTTTCCTACCATTTCAGTCTCTAATGACATGGTCTCAAATGCCTGGTCAGCCGGGTATCATTAATACAGACTTCTCTATCAAAATGAATTTGATTTTAACAGGAAAGGTAACATGATGAACTAAGAAATCTCTTAAGAAATCTTGTATTTTTCCTTTAAGACAAAGATAACTTGCTACTTTTCCATTCAAGATCAAAGAAGGGAAATAATACAAGGAGAGAAAGACAGAAGAAAGAGAGACAGATCATTTGAAGCTTCCATTTTCTCTCTAATACTTTTTCTTTTAGATCAGTACAATCACTAGATTCACCCTATAGAGAAAGAAGATTAAAAAAGGGAGGTTATATATGGCCAAAAAGAACTCTGGGCAACTTTGCTGATGTGTTTAAAGCTACTGTACTTTACAATTCTTATTTCAGAAGTAAAATGATAAACAAAAAACAAAGCACTTTTAATCTTCAAAGCAATGTATGATCAATAACAACTTCATAGCACTCGATATTCAATATCATAATCTGTATTTTACTCCAGGAGAGAAAGATGTGTAGAGAATAAGTGATCTGCCTGGGTCTAATACCGAACCAGGGATGGAACTCAAACATCACAAGCTTGTATGTCAAACCATAAAACCGTGCATTCATTTAGGAGTTGTTCTTTCGTTACCAGTTTTTATTTGAGCAAATGACTACTGCATTAAATAGATTATGGACTTTTTTCCAGCTCCCACAGAAACATTTGATATACTAGTGGAGGTACATCCCAGGATTATTTAGCAAAATATTTAGCACAGCACACCAATTAATTTACGATGCCTCCGAAATAACTCTAACCACTTCAAGTGGGTTACTTCAATAACTATTTGCTAGGGTCAACATATGAATAGCTTCATACTGGCAACAGCTTCCTTGTGAAATCACATTTATAGCCAAGGCATATCCAGCCACTGGGTTAGAGCTACGCTTTCTGCCCCTTCTCAACTCCTGAGAAGGGAAGTCTGGCCTGACATACTGAACCTTGAAATAATATTGGTCATGGATCTCGACCTCATCTTTGTCCATCTAAATCATGAGAGACCTTTTCAAGAGCAGAAGGAGCACAACATTAAAAAGATATTCAGTCAAGGATCAATTTAACAGGAATTATACTACTGCTACAAGACTGAAATTTTGAAAAAAATCACGAAATATTTGCAAGTCAATAAAAAAAGTTTCTCCTGGAAACATACACCTCTCTAAAACTACAAGGAAAAAGATTTCCATATTATTGTACTGTAAACATAATGTGATCTGTGGTAGTGCTGAGAGATTTAATTTGCATACTAATGCTGCAAGCAGGTTGGGGGGTGCAGCGGGAGAAGAGTTACTTAGCACCAGTAATGAGCAGAAAGGAAAAGAAGGCAGCTACAGTCCCCATGGACTGTTTTGTTTTCAGAAATTTTAGACTGTCTAATAACATCTTTTAATAAGCTGCTCTCAGCTATAAAGCTGTAATCAGCCTTTGTCGCAGAACATAATACTGTCCCAGACAGCAAAATAGTTCTGATATAATGGACAAAAGACCCCCTCTAAATAAAAGCTTCTTTAAAAAGGAGAAAAAAGTTCCACCAGTGAAAGACAGAAATTAGGCTATCTTGTGTATCCTTTCATTTCTAAAATACTAGATTTCAAAAGGACATCTATTAAAGCAAAATACATTCTAGAACCCCACATTTTCTAGTTTACTGTAGTCCTAGTTCACCATTAGACAAACTTGCTCATTTATAGGGTATTTATAATACCCTATATTATAAGATATTATCCAATCTAAATTAGGACTGCTCACGTTAATTTCCTGTTTACAGTCTATGCTACCCACTGAGTCTTAAGTGACCACTACTATGCGACACTAAGATTAACATTGCAATAGGCTGTCTAAATTTAAGACTATTTCCACTCCACTCACTCAGTTTAATGGCAGTTCTTACTGAAGCTCAAGTCTGGCTATAAAAGCCGAAGATATATATGATAGGTAAAACACAGATTTTCTACTCCATTAAATGCAGGATTCCTCACAACAGTGGATCACCTTCACTGCTGACAAGTGCAGGTCCAACTCCACTGTTGCCACCACAAACTGGAACTGAATCTACCAAACATTTGGGTTTAAGTGTTGGTTTATACATCATAACTAACTCTAAAAGAATTCAGTATCATCCTTTCCGTACATGTATTTCTTAACTTTTAAAATTCAAAGCACTAAGAAGATGGAAGCAGATCACTTTTTTCCTAGGAATTCTACTCATCTTCCCAGTATTATCACCATCCTTTCCTTTCCAGCAACTGACTTACTGTGATGGCAGTTATCAGATTTTACAGATCAGTTCAGAAATATACCTTAAAACTTATAAAAGGTATGCTGTCAAAAAAATACCCAATCACTAAAACCAGCTACAGCTATCACTTTAGCAATATAGGTAGAGATCTCTGTTTAACCTCTTTTTAGTGTCATTTGCTGGAGAGCTAGTATAAACCACTGTGGCATTTGGTTATTGTACTTTGCTCTCATTTAAAGATAAATAAATCTATCACTTAGAAAAAACAGATAATTTGTGGAGTTTAAGCAGCAAAATGGTAGCTTTCTTCTCTTGATACGTTTCTGCCCTACCTTATGGGAAGGGGAAATGACTGTATCTGTGACTGGCAAGTCACACTTTCTCTGAGGGGTGCCAGATAATAATAGCACGTCAACATGCTCACAGCCACATGCTCCTTTTGCCAATGAGATTTCATAACGCTTCCTCCACTTCTGAAGCTCTCCAAAGAAAGGAAGTGTTAACTCCCTCTTAGAACATACAGTCCAAAGGACCCAAAACTGTCTAATGTTTGAACCCTTTTTGCACAGATAGAGGGAATATTTTTTTTTGCATGAAGTTGTACTTTTTGTCTTTTTTTTTTTTTTCACAGCTAGAAGCTATAAGCCGAATAGATATGTCTACATGCAGCTACACTGTGTTAAACAACTTAGGATTTACTGCTTCTAGTTTCAAACAAAGCAACGCTCAAAGAAACGTCAAGCTTTTCTCCTCCTTCGGTTCAGAGGAAAAAGATACAATTATTAATATCTAAGATGACCACAGAAGTGTTTTTGGCTTCCATCCATATCCTTTTCTCTAGCTAGTGGTAAAATAAGAAAGGGAACAGGTATGAAATTCAATTAAGAAATGCTTTTTTGGTTTTTGGGTTGCTAAAGTCATTAGATCAGCACCTGCTTAGAGCAGACCTGAAATTCACATTCCTCAAGCTGAAAAAATTCTTAGTGGAATATAGGTTTCCAATCAGCTCAGACAAAATTCTAACAAGTGCTGAATTAAAGTGTGAAGCTGCCAGTACTTTAAGAACAAGGTCCCTAATACTGATTTTACACAAAATAGTTTATCAGGAAGTTAAACACACATTTAAAACCCCAAGTATTTTCTCTACACTCAGAACTGAAAACTGAACAATATGAGATTTTAAATCTTCCTACACCCAGAGATTATTCAGGATTCCAACTTCTCTGTGGAGGCACAGACCCTCCCCTCTCTACAGCACCACCATTGATAACTAGACTGAGCAACACTGGCACCTATCATGTAACGAGAGCTTTTTCTCTCCTCTTGAAACTTGTTTCTACTTGCAAGCTACTTCATGCTATCTCAGCCATACTGGGAAATAACGGTAGCATGTAGTTATACACCCAGAGCTAAAGTAAGAGGTCACAAAGAGGGCTTCTCATGGCCATTTCCTAGCAATTCCCCTGTCATTTCAATACACAAGGTTAAATTACTCCAGAAGCTTCCCTACAGGGCTTCCATTGTTTGGCAGTCAAGGCTAAGACACAATGGCGCTCATTCATGTGCACAGCAAACAAGCAGCTCAGGGCCAATGATCAGCATACAGTCTCATTTTGGTTCTTCTGCAAACAGTTTGTAGAAAGACGGCATTTCAAATAAACTATGTCAATTTTTCAAAGCTGCAATGCATTCCTAGTACAAACTACTTAGTAGGGAGTTCAGACAAAAATTAAGACAACTTGAGAGCAACTTGGAAGAATCACCCAAAAAACCACTCACTTGTTAGGACTGTTCCTGGAAAAGATCTCCTTGGTACAACCACATGCAAAAAGATTACATTTTAATAGTTAGAGAAACACACATTCAGAAAAGTTCAAAATAGCTGATTCTTTCCAAAGACGGTCATACCGTGCTTTTGTTTTTAGAGTACCACTTAGTGTTCAGCCTCAGAGCTTATGTTACTAAAGGGTACAGACACCAAGGTTCCAAAGTGCACTTAAGGCTGTTTACTCCGTATCTTCTGGTTAAGAACCCAAGAGGTTTAGGGTTTGTTTTTGCTTTTCTTTTTTTCACATGTTAAAAATAGAAAAAACAAATGCAATATGACAGAAGTCCAATGCTGCTGATAACTGGAGAGACACAAGCCTCACGCACCTCTTCATTGTTTTGCCTTTTCTACTTCAAAACTTGCTAGAGCAAAGACTTTGTCTCCTGATCCTATGAAAAGAAAAAACATTTTCAGTAAGTATTAGTAGCAATTGTGAATTTCCTTATATACAATTTAAATCAAGTAAAACATCTGAGATCAAAAGAAATCAAACCTACGTTTTGAAACTAGAACACTTGACCTAATTTAAAAAAAAAAAAAAAAAAGAGACATACTGGCTTGACAGGTCTGAAACCAGCCACGCTGTGTTGAGCCTGGCTGAGATGGAGTTAACCTTCACCATAGCAGCTCGCCTAGTGCCCTGCTTTGTATTTGTAACCAGAATGGTGTTGATAACACACCAGTATTTTGGCTACCACTGAGTGGCACTGGCACAGTATCAAGGCTGTCTGGCCCCCAAAGGCCAGTCGGCTTAGGGTGGGCAAGAGGTTGGGAGGGGACACAGCCAGGAGAGCTGACCCCAATTGACCAGAGGGATACTTCACACCATATGACACCACGCTTGACAATAAGAGCTAGAAGAAAGGAGGTGGGCAATGTTTTATTAAGGCATTTGTCTCCCAAATGAACCGCTACACATACTGAGGCCCTACTTCCCAGGAAGTGGCTGGACATCACCTGCTGATGGGAAGTAGAGAATAGACCTTTCTGTTTTCCTTTGCTTGTCTGCACAGCCTTTGCTTTTCTTTATTAAACTGCTTTTATCCGACCCACAAGGTTTTCATTTTATATTCTCCCCCTGTTCTGCTGAGGAGGGGGAATGAGAGAGCAGCTTGGTGGGCACCGGGTGACAGCCAAGGTCAACCCACCACACACACAGAGAGCTTCTAACAAAGTACCCTTTGGAACAAAAGGTTCTCACCTTGCTTACACTCTCAGGAAGAGGGGTACTGAAAGGTAGGTCACAGAGACAGTTTATTTGTACCCTGACCTAGTCTGGCACGTTCCTGCCACTCATAGTTCTTCCATCACAGTTCTAACCGTAATGCTAGAATGAACTGTTGGGCTTATTTAATGCATATTATAACTGAACGTTTGGTCTCGTCAATATGATTAGAGTTATGACAAGCATAGCAAGAAGAGCAAGTGCTTTAAAGCTGTATTTTGACAATGTGCCAATAATTTCTGAATTCTCTGCATCAAGCAGAGGAAAAGGCTCTCCTGAACAGAGTCATTAACACAAAAAAGATCTGTGTTTAACTGTAAGAGTGGTATCTCTGCTTGGACAGACCATTCAAGCCTTCAGCATCATCGGCAACACTTGGCATTTTATGGACATTTGGCACTGGATTTATTTGCTGCATTACTTTTTTCTCATGGATAATGTATCGAGTTTCATTGTTAATAAAACAGAAACACATACATAAAAATTTAATGGCATAAATCTTTTATTTGTATTTTCTCTTTCACAGGGCAATCACTATTAATCAGTGTTCAATGAGGCAAAGAAATCAGAAGTTATGAGAATGAAAACTTACCAAGGTCAGTGGAGACTCTCTCAAACTGGCTGAGGGCTGTACCAGCATTCGCCGACAAGAACATCTCCTCATCTGGTGTGAGCTAAATCAAATAGGTCGTAACTGTGAAGCTGGTACCTTAACTGTGCATAATCCCACTACTGTAACTCCCACTGTCTACACAGGCGTACACATGAACTATGACAGGTTACAGCGATTGTCAATTTGCAGGTTCTTTAAGAGGCAGTGTTATCTAACATATTAAAAGCCAAAGTAAAAAATGCAAGCTATTCCCGCTACCACTGATTTTTTTCTCAATGGCACCTGTCAGCCCAGAGGACAGCAAATGCGACACCAGACATGCCTTTACATGCACCACTAAGGTTCAAGATCACCTCCAGTGATAATTGTTGATGAAGAGCTCACACTGTACCTCTATACCAAAAAGTGTCCAAGGGACATCAATTACTTTTTGTCATGTGGTCAATACAGCCATGAGCTCGCTTGGTATCATCTACTCAGGAAAGCAAAAATATACACTCACTACCAGCTTTGACCATGTTAAGAGCCAGTGACCTAGAAATGGTTCTTTTCCTTTAAAATGACATTTGCACATGTATATTTTGCATTTATGTATGGGCTCTGATGCCTTGTGACAGACGCCCATGAAATATTTACAATAATGAAGTAGTAACCTACATTTGGAAGGTTCAGATATTCTACGTTAAAGCTCACTCAGTTAAGTAGCCTCAGATATATAACCTTATCAAAGCAAAGCGTAACTGTGTCAAACTGTCCACAGTGTTTGTGTCAGTTTACTTATTAAAAACATAAAAATCAGGTACAGACATTCAGAATGATGTTGGAATGAAGGAAAAAGTATGTTACCTGCTTTTGCAAGCAAGCATCTAACTACTTAACATTTTGCAGTCTTGTGGAGACAAATACATAATATTTACTATTCAATGTAAAACTACTATCCAAGCAAGTCCTCTGTTAAGTAGGTTACTGATCATTGCAAAAGATAAAGAGGTGATGGCAAAGCGTGGTGAAGTGGCTTATCTGAAATGATCCAAGGAACTCAAGCCAGGAGGATTAGATATCTTCACGCATTCAGTTCACAATCTTAACTAACTTTTTAACCTATTTCCAAAACATTTTTTTCTCTGACAGTCACGCAATAAAAATTTTCTGAGAGGAAGCATTTGCTAATAATACCTACTTGGAATGCAGCTCCTTTAAGTACTGCATTTGATCTTTTCCAAAGAAAGTTTAAGTATAGAGATACACAGCAACCCATTTTCTTCACATACCACCAACAAAAAGAAATAATTTCTCTTCCTCCCTCTAGTGGTAAAAAACAGGGATTGTTCTGCCACTGATGTATTCTTTGGGGAAACAATCAGTTTATCACTCATCTCTCCAATTCATTTATCTTACACCAAGAGGTAGTTATTATCACCAATACAAAAGTAAGTAAAGCTCAGTGTACGTCAGAAGTCTTGGATGGTTCCTGCCAGGTGGTAGTTAGCCACCAGAAGACTTGTTTGTAGCTTTTATAAATACCATTAACTTTTAACAGCTTATGTGACTTGTTCATATGACCCACCAAAGAAAGCATTTTAAAGTAGAAATAGCCTTATGTAAATTCACAATACTAGTGCACTAGTGAGCGCTTCAGAAAGCTAAGCATTAAAATGGAAGGACATTTATGTATTACAAAAGCTTCTTTTTATCATATGCTCATAAACAAAAGTTGCAATTTCTTATTTTAATGATTTCAAATTCCACTTCAATATAAAGATAGACACTTCTATTCACCTATCAAACCACCACCTTACCTTCTCACCAAGCTTTCTGAGGGCAGTCAGGATTTCCACTTTCTGCTGTGTGTACAGGTCTCGTGCCAACTTCCCAACCATTAAGTCTCTGTCCATCTGTATACCAGCGGGAAAAATAACTCAAAATATATAAGCTTGCCATTAGTTTCACTCAACACAACAGCATAAGCAATGCAACAGCCTAAAAATATCATCAGCAAGCACGGTACCCATGAAAGTAAGGGTACCCATAATTTAAGAGACAGCTGTGAAGTTTTTATGGCCATTCTGCAAATGCTCTCTGCACCTAACCTTAGCATTCTTGATTTCTCCGAACTTGAATCTCTTTCAATCAACAACTGCTGTTCATTCAAAATTATGGATTCACATATCACTGATATGTGGAGGAATCACATTTCATTTCACTTTACCGGGATCTCAAGCTCAGTCTAGATCTCTGAAACACCGACTGCAATCTTGAGCCCCTCAATGCAATTACAGACTCATACTCTTCAGATTTTCTATTTGCAGCTATACTCAGTTCATTATCTGTTAATCACATTTTTCCTTTGAAGCAGTAAGATAGAAGATAATTCAAGAAATACACATTGTTGTCCCCATTACCTCAATGAACATTTAAAACTGAACAAATTCTGAAAGAGAACTTCTCTATCTCCTTATGATGCTGCCACTAAGGTTTCTAACACACTTGGTGCTCTTCTTGCAATCATTACATATTTAAATCAGTCTAGCTTAAATAAATAGTTTTTACAGTAAAACAGAAACCTTCACCTCTGCCAACCTTGTCCTCAATTGCCTCGGTTGCTTCTTTGCAAACATTCTAATTACTTCTGGAGTTTTAAATGCTTGGCTGATGGCTGCTTGTATTGCCTACAAGGAAAAGAGCAAGAATAACCAAAACTAATAGCAGTCACAAGCTATAGCTGCATGACAAGATTAACGAAGGCTGGAAAGCATCATTAGTATCCTCTGCATCGTTTGATAAAGAGAGCTTTTCTTTTTTTTGCATAACCATGGAAGAGAAATTAAAAAAATACATGACCTTTATGCAGGGCTTGAAAAAATCCACTGATTAGCGCAACTACACTGAGAAAGAGCTATGAAACTTTTCATTACAGTACAGGTCTTAATTTGTAACCATTTTCAACATCTTCCTGATATTAGCACATTGCAAGTGGATGTGCTATGCTATCTTTAGCAGTTTTAATGCCCACACTGATGATTACAGCTCTTCTAAGAGTAAGCAGAATATGAATGATGAGGCAAATCTCCTACTGTTACTCAAAATTCTCTATGAAGTATAAAAACTATTATGATTAAATCTCACCACAGTTACGTTTGGACAAATCATGATCTCTCTGGAAACAACACCCTAAAATATATGGCTCAAAAGTAACAAGTAATGCTCTAAGTAAACATCTGAAAAGAGAGGAAATAGATCAAAAGTTTAGAAGTCAGCATAAAATAAGTTCAATTCACTAGAAGAACTTGAAGCTACACAGTCACTCCTACAGCCTTTTCATTTGGATTGGTATGAATCTGTGAAATACAAATCAGCAATAAGAGCACGGGAAATGCTCTCATTATGCCTTCTAACAAACAGGCATGAACTTTACTTCTCACAACATATACTGTCCTGGATTGTCTCTCACACCTTCTATATTAATTTGTATTATTTTATGTTATTTTCTAATATTAGGGGCCTAATATATTTAGTCTCTGCAATTTTCCAGGTTTTTTCTACAGTGTTACGGTTATATTTCTTCAACATTTTTTTCCTTTCCAAATGAAGAGACCTAACAAAGTTTTTATATGTATACATACATTAAATAATAAAAACAATAGATACAAAGATTTAGCTTTCACACAAGTATCTAAAAATTATAATGAACTACTTGTACGTATTTTCTGTTTCATTGAATCCAGGCAGAACATGAACTATTTTTAGTAACACATCATCCTTACCAGTTGCATCCCGCTGAGCTCATCTACCAAAGTCATATCTCCAGACATAATCTTCTTCAGCGAGTCATTGATCTCACTCAGTTGTTCTAGAGTTTCTTTTTTGGTCTCTTCATACTCATCTGCATCTAGCTCCTCTCTGAAGAGGATCCAACAAGACACATTAGTTCATAGGACTAAACGTGAGACGCAATGTGGAAGAAAGGACATCAGGGAACATCATGAAGCATGCTTCCTCTGAGAGCAATGAAAATACATCACTTCAGATTATTCTCCTCTAGCCCCCTGAGCTGTTATTTACCCAATGCATATGTAGTTTCGCACTACCTTCTAGCCACCCACGCACTTCTGGTGTTCGTATAAAGTCACTTTTATTAATAAGGCCCTGACAACTATGAGATACTCTGGTGCAGTATTTAAAAGTGTGTTTTGGATCTCAATAAAAATACGCAGTGAGATTGTCTTGCTCAAAGCTATGGTGAATCAAATTATCTGAAAAGCCCATCTCCTCATGCAAAAACCATCAAGTTATTCAGGAATAACTGATCCTGCCATCTAAACCTTGCCCAATTCAAAGAACAGCACTACTAACCCTTAGCAGTTATAACTGTTCTTGAAAAAAAATATGTATTGCTTGGATAGCTAGAATTATAGTCAGAGAAAGCATCTAAATCCACACAGCATGTTTAAGTGCAAGTACCAAAACAGAAAAAAACCTCTTTTCCTTGGTAATTCAGTGTCTATCTCAAATTTTATCAGCCCACAAAAAACTAACGCAAAATCACATGAAACAAATCACATGAAAATGTGGGGTTTTTTAGTTTGTCTAACAACCCCAACATCCCTAATTATAAGACAAAACAAAATAGACACAAAAGCTACTTGCAATTAAAAAAGCCCATATAAAAATTGTTAATTCTGCAAACAGCTATTAAAAGTTAGAAAGTCACTGAAATATAAAGAGAAAAAAGTAATATTTCTGCCCGCATTTTCCTCAAGATGATAAATACAATGATCCTAATAAAAAGGGGGTTTAAAATAATCTTTACTACGTAATAAAAGCATTCTACCTAGTTTAAAAAAAATAAAGCCACAGCAAAACACAAAATAAAACAAAAAAACCCACAAGATTTTTGAAAGGTATCACTTTCTTCTGCCAACCACTTAAGAAAAACATTGCCATACACGAGGAAAGCATCATTTTTGTTACCTGCATTCCTCCAGGTCTTGAAGCTGCTGCATTAATCTATCCAACTGCTCTTCCAAGTTTTGTTTTAGTTTACTGGTTTCTGTTGTTCCTCTTGAAGCCATTTTCTGTTTTCACATGAAAATTTTAAGTTGTCACATGACACTCCTAGGAGAAAGAACATTTTACTGTCATGCATTGACAACTTAAAAATAAGTTAAGTGCTCCAAGTACCAATAAAATTATGCAATATCTTGATGATGGAACAGCTAATCAAAACACCTGGGAGAGCCTTGCAGGGGAAATACAGAAAAGTTAGGCTGGGTCTATAGGATTGCTCTTGTAGCAATAGGCAGTTCGCCAAGGCAGTAACTCAAAGAGCCACAGCACATAAAACCAAAAAAAGCTTGGAACCAAGCAGCAATTACTGAAATACTGAGGTCCTGCTATCTGAAAAAACAGATTCTGCTCTTCCATTGCCCTTTGGGAAACTATTTAACAGACAACAACCCGGATGCGGGTATCTGAAGCATGCAAACACCTTAGAATCAGCAGCTGTACAAAACCAGAGCACTCGGGAGGAAATTCGTGCTCCCTTGGCTACGAGACAGGAGCAGTCAGACAGCCGATCCAAGGCACAGCCACCC